AATTCAAAGGAAATGCTTCAAGGTTTGAAAACTCAAGAGAAGAAGGCCAAGGAACCAAGTTCTGGTCAGCCACCTCAAAACCTCACGCTCAAAAATCTGTTTCCTAGGGTTGTGTGCCCTTAAAGGGAGTATTTATAGTCACTTACTCATTAAACACACAGTATTAGCTTTAATTGCTACGCTTAGCATTTTAAATCTCAAACTTTGGATTCTTAACCTACTCAATTTTACAAGAATTATCATATTTTTCGTATAATTTTCGGAGCACCTTTTCGGTACGCGCTTTTCATAGCCAGTACCAGTTTATGGCTCCAGTTCTTGTTATTTTAACTTGAAACTCGTTTTACAAGTCCTACATATTATTCTAGTAATTATCATGCACTTATTATAATTTTCCGAGATACTTTTTCGGTACGCATTTATATCGACTAGCATAACCGGTATCTGCACTTTTCTTCCGAAAAGCGACTTTCAACATTCTTAATCACTTACTATAATTATTAAAGCCTCATAATAATTATTAGGGTCGACTATGGAATTATTTCCTAATTTCACATAATTACTTAATTAAATTCCTTAATTAACGGTGCAGGTTCTTACATGCCACGTGTGTCCGGTCAATATATAGTAGCTGAGTACCTCAGCGACTATGGTGTCGTGGCAGTGTGGTATATTTTTTCAAAAGTGTGGCATTCAGTTATATTATTCTCACAAAAGGGGCAGCACGGTCAATGTCCCACAAAAATGGACTTGTAGCCCGTAGGCGATTAAACACGAAATTGGGCCAAGCTTGAGCTGTGGTGGTGTTTGTTGAGATGATTCCTGTAATTGGGTCATGGGTTTTTCTATGAAACTAGGTTGTGGATCAGTGCTGATGGATGAGCTCTAGGGTTTGCTGATTGGCTTCAAATAGGGGTAGAAGGGAGGATTCAGGCAAGTTATCTTGGAAGGGGATTTCCTTGATGCTTTGAATTTGATCTTAAAGGGTTGTGCTCTTTCCCACCTGGATTCTAATATAATTCAATGAATCAAGGAAATTTTGGCTAAACTGTGGAAGGTGGATCTACCCCATGTTTATAGAGAAGGTAATAGGACTGCCAATTGGATAGATTCTCACATTATGGATAATGCTTGAAATATAGTTTGTTTGACTCTCCTCCAGAAGGCTGCAGAAATTTGTTGTTACACATATGTTTTGTCTTGTACATGGCTACACCAGATCGCCATCGGTGACTAGAGGCCTGAACGATGGCGTGAAAGGGAGAGAGACGAACCGTCCCGACTGGAGCTAAACTGTGGCGAGAGGGTGAGAGAGAGACGAACCATGGCGTGAGGGAGAGAGGGAGAAACCGGCGGCATAAGGAAGAGAGGGAGAGAGAGAGAGACCAACCAATGGTGTGTGGGAGAGAGAGAGAGATAAAGGCGATATGTAAGGGGATTGTGCTTACTAATGGTCTGATGGAATAACGTAAAGGGCGTTTGGTATGAGAGATATTTTTTTTCACCTAGAAAAAAAAATTACAGAGAATATGGCGGGATATTTTTTATCTTGGGCAAGTTACAAAAAGATGTTTTGAAGGCCAAAATTTTTGTCGGGAAAGTTGAGTTATTATTTTAATGCTATGTTTGGTTGGTTGTGAAATATATATTGGGAATGTGGAGTAAAATTACAAAAGTACCCATCCTGTTTGAAAATTTGTTTTATAATAGGGTTGTCTGTGTGTCCAAGATTTTTAAGCGTACTTCTTATATGGTAGGCCAAGATACTCGGTTGATGGATAAAAAAAATACCACATTTCGAATTGCATTTAATTTTTGCCAATGTCCAATTGAAAAAATTATTCATGGGAAACATTTTATACCGGTATTTTTTAACTTATATCATACCAAACATGGTAAACCTATTTTCCCCACCCCATTTTCTTAAGGATTCTATCAAAATCTTCATACCAAACACCCCCTTATAGGCTAAAGATAAATTGTATACCACTCACAGGAAATTACAAAAACAACCCTTATGCAGGTTGCCAAACAAACCTATGGGTCACGGGGAAAAATATGTCAATTTTTAAAATCCGTACATATCTCGTTGAACCTGCGGGTTAACATGACACTTATTTTGACGGATCATGTTATGGGTCAACTCGCATGTCAGAACAAGTGATGCAACCCCTATAAATACGGAAATATTTATTTTGGTCCAGGACCACCTAATGATCTGGTGCTCCTTCTCACATCATCAATTTTTCCTTTCCCTTTCTATCCTTACTATTTTTTCTCTTTTCCAATTTTACCCCTTCATTTACACTAAGGGACCACCTAAAAAATGATAATCCCGAACCACAATAAATAATCTCCTATAAATACCGTCAACTAACAGAACTAGTATGTAAGAAAGCAAAAATATTATCCGATGTTGATCTACAGTCAGACTCAACAGTGATAATAGCCCTGTAAACAAATTTTGACCGTGGGCCGGTCCTTTAGCCATTTTCTTTTCTTTTTTGTGGTTTGGTCCTTGTGAAATATTTAGAAACAAAATGGGCAAGCTTTAAGTCCATATTAATAGGCTGACCCATTACGAGAATAACAAACTGTGCTTATGCTTTAAAAAGAAAAGTCTATGACTATCAAAAGAAGGATTTGAAAGACGATGATTAGTAACTCCGAAGCATGCCCACTGAATTCACATTTTATTTATATAATGTCTGACCATATTATAAGGTGTAAATAGTCCAAGTGACCTATTAAGTATGGAAAAAGTATTTGATAAAATTATCTCAGTGAGTTAAAAACGATGTCGTTTTGGGTTCACTGGAGATAACGTATCTCCATTGACTGGAGAAATCCTTTACCCATTAAGTATTTGCGGCCGGATGCAGTATATCTAATAAAATACAATTTAGCTCATGCCTTAAAAAAAGGTATTTAGAAAACATGTTATATTCTTTTAGAAAAGTGTTTGTCATTTTAAATGACATATAATTATGTCATTTTAAAATAGAGAGACACATAAAAATATTTTTTATTTCAAATTTAAATTAAAAAAAATCACTCACTTCCTCTCCCATGATTTTTATTTCTTGTGTTCATATCTCTTTTAAAATGACATAACTTTTGTCATATAAAATGACAAACACCAAACCCATATTCTTTCTTTCGCAATCTTTCTGTCAAAATCTATTTAGAAATTAATTGTACTAACAATGTTTAGCATCTATATAACTTGTGCGTAACATTTCAAAATAATTGATCACTTAATTATGCTCTTTTTATTGTGGTTAATAAGTATGATTTGGTTTTCGTTAATATTAAAATCTTATATATTTTAATGATTAAAATTTATTTTAAATCCCAAAAATATACATCATTCATCAAATTTGTGCTTAAAAATCAATGTTATCAATCTAATTTAAGTCCACCATAATTTAGTTTATTCATCCATCTCAATCTAAAAGTATTAACAAAAATATATGTAACTAAAATATATATATATATATATATATATATATATATATATATATATATATATATATATATATGTAACTAAGACGTTGATGTGACATTGAAATAGAGGAATTAATGAGCAAGATTGATAAGTGTAACTTCATACTCCTATATAAGGTAGGATCAACTTATATTAATATAAGAATAAACTTTTTTACGTCAATTATTAGTAATTAATCCAGTTGCATCCAGTGATTCACTTAACTAATAAATTAGAGTGAATAAATATAAATGGAATCAAGGATATAACTTGCATTAGTTAAAATGATCATACCCGTTAATATATATAAATACATAACATAGGATGCATTTGATTAATATTAAAGTGCTGCACAAATATAAAAGCATATTCCAAGTAATTGAGTTATATTATAATTTATTCTGTCCTTACTTCTTTGATAACCAACGCATGACTAAATTTTTTGAATTATATGAAGCTGACATGCACATGTACTTAACAAGATAGTTTAAAATTTTATTATGATACTTCTCTATTTAATAGGCACCAATAGAACTAAAAAACATGAAAGATTGGAGATAATTGATTTTGTTCTCTTTTTATAGACAAAAGTTCAAAAAAAATTGTTGTCCTTTAAACTATTTTTAGTCTAATAAATTTTTAAAAAAAAAAGTTAAACAAAAAATAATTTTTATTAAATCAAATGAAATTAAAGCAACTTTTTCCCTCCCTACGTCTTGTTTTTTTCATTGCCCTTTTCACTTCTCTCCCTCATTTTAATTGTTTTGTGAGCCAATTTTTTTTGCACAAAATATTTCCCTAAAAAAAAATATTTCCCATGTTAAACGAGATATAATTATCTCCTACACACATAAAAAAATGAGAGGAACTCGCTTTTTTTTCTCTCTTCTTCTTAATTAGTAAGTACGACTCATTTTTTTATATGGATATGACATAATTTTATCTCATAGAATATTAAATATATATTAACAAAAAAAAAAGGCTGAAATCATGAAGAAACACTTGCATACATTGAATCACCATATGTTTGGTGATGAAATAGTGTTCATTATATACAATTAAATATGGTACAGAAACTGCACTGCGCAAATTTCCTCTTCTACATACCGCAATCAAACACAAAATTACACAGTACTAAAGATTCAGATAGACGAAACGAACAAAGAAATTAAAATACAGGCGACGATATACACTTGCTACAATTCTCCTGATAAGCTAATTAAATATCCAACAACGTAACATCTATATGAGTTATACATATATATATTGATACCCGGGAGTACTTAACTACGTACTTATACTAAAATTACCAACAACAGGCATCGACAAATAAAAAAGGATCGCTTTGGTAAACTTCCCAAGTACTCTCACATCGCACAAGTTAAACCAACGAATTTTCACAATATGCCAGATTTAGAAACGTTACAATTGGATAGTCTTTTTTTGTTTTTTCAATATGTAGTTCATGCCATTCATTTGAATATATATTATATTCAAATATGATATTGGGTGGTTATGGCCCTATGCGGTAATGCCCATCAGGCATGTATTGGCCATCCATATAGACAGTTGCATTCTGCGGATGCAAGCCATCCATGACCATAAATTGCATGTCTTCAGAGGGTTTCCAGTGCCGCTTCCTTTGGTTAATGAACCAGTTATTTATTTGCTTCTGGTCCAAACCAGTTGATTCAGCCAACGCCACCTTCTCTGATTCCTAAGGATAATCACAGAATAATTTGTTTAGAGAAAGAGAGAAAGAGAGAGAGAGAGAGAGAGAGAGAGAGAAATTGATATGATATGATGACAGATTTACATACCGAAGGATATGGCCATTTGTAATGTAATTCCCACCAGCTAAGTAGCTTTTGCCTTGCATCTTTAGGCAGTTTTCCTTTTTTCTTTTTCTTTGAAAGTTCTTGCTTAAGGCTACTTAAGTAACCACTATACTTCTTGAGCAAGTGGTTTTTGAGTTCACGATCTTCTGTCCTCGGATCGATTTCAGCAAGTTCTGTTTCTCCACCACTGTTGTCTTGATCGTCTTCCGATGAACCAACGCCTTCACATTTATCATCTGCTCATTTTCTCAACATGGCAATGCATACATGTCTAAGTAATTAAGCACATGATAAACTTGAGAGAATGTACATCTAGTTAAATTGAAAAACATATCATTCCAAATGATAAATGCATAACAATAACATCATGATGCATTATATATAATTACATGGTTGTAATCCGAAAACAGTTTTTGATCCTCCAAGAGAAGAGCCACAAACAATTAGGTCATTCACAATAGAACTAATAACTTTTTTGTGAAGTGTAGCTTCATTATAATGATAACCCTCTACAATGCGTCAAGTGAATGTGCATTGATTAAGGAACTCCCTATTTTAAAAGTGGGTAAAAACATTAAAGGGTGTGTTTCAAGGGAAAGATTGTTCTGCGTTGCAAGAAAAAGATAACCTTTTCTGCTATATTGGTTTTCTTTATTTGCACTTACAATGTAGAGGTGAATTTAAATGACTTAATATACTCCTTTCTCCTTGCCAAAAAGTTTAATTCATTTCAATCTTTTTCTGTTTGATTCTCAAAATTAAGGTTCTCTCCATAAACTAAGAATTGATTTTCTAGTATTGTAGAGCTTGCGTAGTCATGATGTTTATAAGGGAATAGACAACCACAGAACCATGTAGCCTCCAACAAAAATTAACACACTACTGGAAAATGATTCTCTGTAATTAAATAGTTAAAATTGTATCGACCACGGCTAGCCTAGTGGTGTGGGTGTGTGTAATAGGGTGTGTGTGAGTGTGTGGTTGTGTGTTCTATTCCCTGTAACTTAAAAAAAAAATAGTTAAAATTGTTTGATATTCTCTCGATTCTAAATTTTTTCAAATATATATATATATAGGATTTGGTGTTTGTCATTTTAAATGACATAAGTTATGTCATTTTAAGATAGAGATATATGAAAATCATGAGAGAGAAAGTGAGTGGATTTTTTTTTTAATTTAAATTTTAAATAAAAAAATATTTTCTATTGTCCATCTCTCTCTTAAAATGACATAACTTTATGTGATTGACAAATACTTTTCTTATATATATATATATATAAATTTTAAGTAAAGCTAGAATGCTTATAAAGTGACTCCAATCATACGACCTGTCAATTCGTTGAACTGACATCCAGGTGCTTTTGTTACTCAATTAACAGTGTACCCAAGCAATATAAAACCTGCGCAATATCTTAAAAAACACCACGGAATTGAAAGTGGCTATTTTAGGCACACATAATTGAAAGTGTTAAAATATAATAACCGAATAAGATTTGGCAGCAAAGCTCTCGTCAGATTAAGCATATATTGGATACAAGGTTATCATGATGAAATTAACATGGGAAAATTTTAAAATGATGAAGAAATTCTAAGTCACATATGAAGTTAACAACCAGATATGAAAACAGGAGATAACACATTAACCAAAGTAATGGGGCTTTTAGAACAGAGCTGCTTATATATGCGGTTTGTTAAGTATAAAAACTCATTTCCTAAAAGCATTTGTACTAAAAGGATTAATTAGTGAACCTCGTGAACAGAAACAAACACAGAAACTGAGACGGTCAGAGGGGCCATATACTAGCTATAAATTTATTGAACATCAGCAAAACTTACAAATCCACTGTATTCTTGGGGATGCGGGTGATTGGAACAGCATCCAATGTGTTAAAAGAAAACAAATTAATCTACCAAAACAAAAAAGAAAACAAATTAAATGTGATTAATTAGGAATTTGTTTCGTTGTAAGACAGCCCACAACTGGAACAAATTTTTAGTGCAACTGTTTGCACTTTGCACCGGTGGTATTATAAATTTATAAATATATGTATTTGAGGAAATACATAGATATAGGATTAAAATTGCTTTTCAGAAGTTTTTCATAAATTTGTCGGTATAATTTTAATATTATAATTATGTATTGCTCAGATATATTGCCTATATAATTATAATACCAATGTTACACTTGCACTGAAATTATTTTTCCCAGAACTGACCTATGCAATTAATGATGATGCGGTGTATGTAAGAATATTATACCCCAAAACCCAATGAATCCACGAAAAGCATACTAATAATAGGTTTAATTATCAAAATATAGAATGTATTAACCAGGAAACCCTAGAAGAATCATTTTGTCTGTTCTCAGAAGTTTGGGAAAGGAAGAAGCTGCGTAGGGCGTGAACGTGTGCGATTTGTGGAGAGTGGACAGTACTTCTAGTACAATACATAAAAATAGAATTTAGCTTGGTCAATTCTCGAAAACTTAAAAATAAAACTCATGCTATATATTGCATATTCCTATTCTTTTTAGAAAGAAAGAAAAAAAAGAGATATAGACCCGAAGTTAGGGTGATTAGGGCTATATATGTGCTTCATGAATTTGTTCTTCTCTCTTTTTGGGTCCCCTCCCGAAGATTTGAAGATGGAATTTTCGGTCAAAGTTTCCTGACTCAGAATGCAGAAATGCTTAAGTTTACGCATATCAAGAATCACAGACAATCCGGACCAAAATTTAGGTGCAGTGTCATACATTACACATAGCTGATTATAATAGTACTTTAGAATTAATTAGTTTGTTTTCAGTGATAGCAAATTAATATTAATGACAATTCCTGTAAAGGAGATGAGAGTAGAGTATGGTAGGAAATAGAGTCCTCCACTTCAACAAAGAGAGAAAAACAAAGTACCAGAGAAGATCCGCACTGGTTCATTGCAAAGCATGTTCAGCTGAGTTTCTATCCTCCGCATGAAATCCATGGCCTCTTGTATAGGCCTTGTTAATTCCTCTCGATACTTCACAAGCATGTCATAGTAAGCTTCCTGTTTTCACACACATGACACAACTTATTTCAAAGTCTAAAACTATTCACAAAGCCCAAAATGGGAAAGAGGAGGAAATAAAAGGCGAAAAAACCCCCCACACCATGAATTGGTCAAGTTCTGGGTCCTTAGAAGTTTCCCTTGAACTAACCGAAGATCGCTGCCGTGCCTCAAAATCCTGTCGAGCCGCAGCCAAACGCGCCACCACTTCTGCCGGAGCTCCTACCTTCAAAATATGAAGCCACAGTACTCAGATAATTAAACAGAGAGGAAGATAATAAAAACCTATATATATAGTCAAATGGTTTATGCTTAGAAATTAAATCAAATAATTATTGCGAACCTTATGGCAATCCATGTAAACTTGTAAAAGATTGGAGTATTGAGGATGAGCAATGATTTTCGCTTTTATGGATTCAACTTCGTTAGAGCTCCGAGTCCCTCCTTGCTGACTTGGATGATGAGGATGCAGCGTGTGGTGAAGATTTCCTCTCAATAAAGGATAGTGGAAAATCGGAGAGTGAAGCTGCGAGTTGTTGGACTCGGTTTTCACAGTAGGATGTGGTATTTGATCGGAGTGAACCGATCCACCCGATTGAAGATGAAAGGTGTTGATGGGAAGTTGATGATGGCGGTTTCCAACGCTTGAACCAGCCAAAGAAGAATACAAGAAATTTTCCCTTGGACTTTGACTCGGGTGATTATTATTATTATTATTATTATTATTATTAGTGTATTCCTCCATCTATTCAATTTAAAAATCAAAACTCTCTCACTAAGCTGAACAAAGAGCTTCCACCAACAGATACTACTCCTCAAATATTATAAGGAAGAAGCGATGACCACAAATTAACCCTAAGAGGTGTACAACTTTAAACCCTAAAAACTATGAGATTGATAATGAATATTGTGGTGTGGACAACACCGTCAACTGCGTAAGTTAGATTTAATATATGTTGATATTAAGGTGTCCAATTGGGAAGGGTGTGGTTTGGAGGGTTTTAAAGGAAAGAGCGACAATCTCACATGATGTGTGGTACGGAGTTGAGGAATAGAAGAGAGAGAGAGAGAGAGGTGATGCAGTCCAAACCGGCAATGGCTCCGTGTCTAGGATGTGGTTGACAAAACCCTCTTTCGTATTGAGAATGAAAATTATAAAAAGCTAGTATAGTGTATAGCCTACAATATAAGCCCACCGTCCACAATTTTTTCCTTTTATTTCCTGAACAATTATTGGACAGTAAAAATGGAGCTCTTTTGTACATGTGATATATACATTTTGATATTGAAATTATGTTTTAGGCTTTAATATTTAAGTTATCTACCTTCAATTATAAAATGATATCATTTTAAGTTGAAAGATTAAAAATTATAATAAAAAAAAATATTTATAAATATGAAATAAATTATAATTACAAAAGTATAATGATTTCTGTCTCAAAATGACGTTATTTTGAGCTCAATATAAATAATTTATCTACGTTAACTGGAAAAAAAAAAACTAACCCTATGTTTTAACTATATATCATGATACATTAAAGAAACATCCTGTAAATAATATGAGAAAGAATTTGACGTGAGCAATTTGTCCTTTTTTCATAAAAAGTTTAACATTATTTTTGCTGTATTAAAATTTTATGAAAATAGCAATATGATTAACTGATATTTATTCGTTATTAATTTGATTATAATGTAATTTTTTTTTAAATATAATAAGTAAACAAGAAATATTTAATATATAACTCATTTTGGATTTTGATACTCTTAAGAAGATATAGGCAATACTACAAGAAAAAATCTTATTAGTGTCGCAAATTTCGTTACTACATATGAAATTTCGTCACAAATTCTTGAGTCGCAAATTTATTTGTGACGAAATTTGATTATTTGTGACGAAAATTTTTGTCACAAATAAACTTTTTTCTTGTTAGGGCCAAAAAAATTTAACTCTCGCCAACTATTTAAATTTTATCACTTCAACTTAGTCATAGTTATTTACCCTCCTCTAAAACGTAGATAATTTTTAAAAATTTCCGCCACTGGATATAGGTACCCAAAAAAACCGTAACGTTCATTTTACAGTGATAAAAAAAAAGTTATTTATGCTAGTTAATCTTCCTTTAATTTTAGCTAAAACAATTAATTCATTAGTAATATAGAGTTACTTGTTACGGGAATTTTTCATTTTTCGTTTTTTAACGAAGGAGATCCATGATCTGGTGCAGAGATGAGACACTTGCTGGGTATGTTAAACAATAATATAAACACTTAAAAAAGTTATTACTCAAAATCTTAAGATTTTAGATTGAATTTGTTCTTTATATGATATTAGAGTCTCAATGATCATAAAGTTAGGAGTTCGATCCTTATTACTCTACGCTTCAAGTCCAAAAAGCTTGTGCAAGAGATGTGTGATAGAATAATATAAATTATTTAAAAGACCATCACTTAATACTTTAAGATTTTGAGTTAAAATAATTCTTTATGCACTAACACAAAAGGACAACCTATTAATTCAAGGTTAATTTAAGGTGAGATTAATTTCAAAAAGTACATCCACACTGCTTTGTTCCACTCGCCACATGGTAATCCATTTTAGCTGAAGTTCGTGTACTGTGAGAATAAATTTCGAGATTATAAAAGGAAGTTAGTTCAGAGACCAGTGAGTAGATTGAAATCTAAGTCTGGGGATTACACGTTTTAATGTTGATTTTATAATTGTAGCTCTCTAAAATTACTTTTTTTTATATACCAATCTTAATTAAGTGAGTAAGCTCCCCGATATCTTCACAAATCTTCAATTCTTTGAATTAACTATAGAACTAATTCCGAGTATAAGGCAAATCTGGAAATAAGACCTTATATATCTTCCAAAGGTGCTAAAATCATCTTCTTCTTTTTTCTTTTTCTTTTGGCAATAGCTAAAATCATCTTTCAATCACAAGAGAGTTATTTCCCAAAGTGTAACCCGTTTTTAAGAGTGTGATTCTGAGAAAATTTACCAAACAGGTAAATCTAAACCAATATTATTAAACGCAGCTCATTTATTGATCTGGTCGAGGTATTGAGTCACTAGTTCAACCAGTGAGTCACTGGTTCAACCGCATTACCCAATAAGTATATGTAAATCTACAATTTATATTAAAAAACAATAAATATACTTAAATACTTGTAAAAAATATACCAATTTCAAATATTTTAATATGAAAATAATAAATTACATATCATTGTCCATCAAAGATCAATCAAACATATAATATTTGTGCTACTAGTATTTCAGGTTCAGTAAACAACATCTCTAACTATAAATCAAATCAAAATTCCCTGTATATTGCATAATCAAGATAATATTAATATTGTAGGTACATAATCTATGTAAATTAATAAGTTATAAATCACTCAAATATTTCAAAAGAAAACAAATCATTTGTGTTTAAGAGTAAAAAAAAATACATTAATTTATGAAAATAAATAATTTTTTTTTATAGACCGGACCGGGTAACCGGTTGAACCGACCGGGTCACCGTTTTTTACGAAAACCGACCGGGTCGCATCGGGTCACACCGATTCTGTAACATAGTCGGTCCAATATGAAAACTTGACCGATTACATAGCCGATTCATCGGTTTTCGGGTCGAACCGGCCAGATGAATCTGGTTTTTATAACATTGATCTAAACCATTTAAGCACAATTCATTCAACAGGAAGGTTATACTTACAACTTTAAAATTATACATATATAATAAAGAGGAAGATTATACTTACAACTTTTTTTTTTACAACTACATCTTATCACCGTTGATTTCCGTCAATCAAATTTATCATTTATTGTGAATTAATAATTAATTAATGAATTTGATTTGCTAAAATGATAACCGTTGATTGACGAAAATCAACGGTGATAAGATATAGTTGTAAGAGGTTGTGAGAAAAAATGTTATAAGTATAACCTTGCTCTATAATAAATTAATAATATTCAACTCACATCAAATTCAAGTTTTTTTTTTTTGTAGTTAAATTCAAGCTTTTAATTTAAAACAAAGTCGTTACTCATAACAAATATAAGTTTTCAAAATAATTTTATATTGATATGTTCCAAGCTGTTTACCTTTTTCAATTTTGTACGTTTAGTTTTAAAATTTTAGTAATTTTGTCAGTTACTATTATGAATGTTTTTATTTTCTGTAGTTTGTAGTTTCTATTATGATGTTTGGATACTGTACTATTGTTGAGAAAAAAATATCAATTGACCGACTCACTAAGTTAGACGAGTTGACAAATGAATTGCTCTGACAATAAAAAAATTTAAACTAATAAATGTCTTTGAAACTTAACTCTCCTAATTTTGAGGAAAAATTGTGTATCATTTTAAAGTATATAAAATTATATTTTTTTAAATAAAAAAAGAAATAGATATAGGAGAAAAAATAATGGACAAAAAAATATAAAAATATGAGTCCACCTCTTTTTAAGAGTGAAATAATTTAAAAAGACAAATATTTTTTTCTAATTTTAATAAATAAACCGAGTAACCTAATAACTTCAGCTGTTTTGAATTGCCCTAGTTGTAAGTTGTGATAACCCGCTTCAGCAAGACCACGCGTATACTATGGCACGAAACAGCTATTTTCACTACCATTCCATTTTTTTTCCACAATCCTAATACGAGAAATTCTTATTTTTTTTTAAGAGCAAAACAAAATTCTGATTTGATTTCATTACATATATACTACTCTAATTATAATAATAGAAAAAAGTGTATACCCTCTTAAAGAACACAAACTTATATTCTCTCTTGAAAGATAGACACAATAGAGTATGAATTTAACTGAAAAAAAATAAAATAAAAGCGTGAGTCTTATTTTTTTTGTATGAATCTTTCTCTTAAAAAAATCTAAATTTGTGTTTTTCAAAACGACTTACACTTTTCTTATAATATTAATATAAAAATTAATTAAATTCAAAATTTAAATTATTAAATAATGAATAAATTTTTATTTATATTATATTTCTCAATGTCCACTCACCCATAAATCGAGAATCTTTTGAAGTTTTGAGATATAAACAAGAGTAAATATTTTTTTTGATCCTTTCAAAAATTATGGTACCCATTTTAATCCCTTAGGAAAAAATAGTGTTGAGGTCTCTAACAAATTCAAAGTGAACTCATTTAATTAAAATTGTGATTCTTCACAAATTCAAAAAAAATTCATAACTAACTAATTTTTTTTTATAAAAGATTAAAGTGAAAATCGTATTTTTTTTATTAAGAATCTAAAAAAAATATTTACTCTATAAATAATTCACACCCCATATCTGGGAGAAAGATAGACACAGCAAAGAGAAACATGTATAATTATGACCACGACCATATTGGCTCCGTAACGAGGTAAAGGTCATGACTGGCGGCGAAGACCATGCCATTTCTCTGCTAGTGCTTGGTGGTGCTTAGCAATTAGCAATGACTTCCTTTCTTTCCCTTCCCAGCTCACTTGCACAGAGACACACTCCCAGTAGTAGTCAGAATCAGAGTCACACAGGGTTTTGAGACCCCACGTACACTACAGCCCTTAAAAAGGCGTTCATTCTCAAACAACTCCCCCGGGAGTCCCGCGCTCCTCCCAGTAGGGGGCCATGCTTTGATTAGATGTATTTTCCCCCTCTACTTTCTTACTTTTTCTTTTATCTCTCACTTTTTCATTTTTCGTGAAATCTACCTCAGTTTTTCTTTTTAATTAATTTTTC